TCAAAAACAGAGGACAGCAAACTCGCGAAATACGGAGAGGAGAGACCGTGCTCAGTAACAGTGCGACGCAACTCTTTTACCACCGCAAAAGACAACGCTTCCCACTGAACTCCCCGACCTTGATAAATAACAGGGGCTACTATCGTTTTTGCAATTCCCAGCTCTCCTTCCTTCAAAGCTTGGCGCCTTATGTTAGCCCACACATCATGCGGGTCGGGAGGATAAAGCTGCGGATCTCTTTCTGGATCCCCTGGTCCTGGGTCGAAAGGATCCCCCTCTGGGGGGTATCCCGCGGCACATACCTCGAGAGGCTCAGAAGTCTTTTTGTCTTTTAACAACATCGGAGGCGCCGACGAGAGTTTTCCTTCTTCCTTGGTCTCTTTTCCGTTACTCTTTTCTTGTGCCTTTAGAGTTTCAAAAATACTTCACCACCACGGGAGCATATGCTGAGCCTCAGCGTTTCCCGTGGTTGCCGCATCCCATAATTTTACCCCCACATCGTCCCAAAGTTCCCACGTAAAAATGCTTGATGCAGTTACACTTGTACCCATTTAAGTATCATTTTAAGATCTTGTCCAGCAAGATTCTTTTCATTTTTCGTAAGGAGAGCTTTCATAAGCTCATATACGTCTCTCTCTGAGGAAGACATTTGATTTCCCATGTTTCCCACAGCTCACCTCTCTGCTCCGGAGGGATTTTTAAGCCGGCTCCTGCTTCCTTTCAGCAGCTCATTCAACGTCCTGTGGGACTCGCAGCATGCCACGCAGTTAGGTGGTTTCTCAAATCCTCGAATCACGTCGGGGGTCACCAATTTGCTGCGACTGAGAGACGGGACACTGCTTGATGCAAGCAAGTTGTCAATTTATTATGGTTTTCTCTTCTACTTTTATACATATTAGAAACAATACACTCAGATCAAGGGATAGCACGTCCCTTGATGACTGATTGACTCCCCAAGCACCCACTAATTGCTGGTTAACAGTTTCCAAGTTAAGCACACGCTAATTGCCTGTTAACGGTGTCAAGATGTTCAATGTAAGGTGGGCACTCTTTTGTTTCTTCTAAGTAAGACTGTTATCTTGTGCCTCCCAGGGCTTGCGTCCAACAAGTCTTAACATGTCCTCCCTTTTCAGTTGAGCAACACTGGGAGCCCTGCAAAGGCGGGCTGAGCCATTTCCTTCATTGAGAGATGGGCCCTTGTGAACCTCATGAAGTCCAACCAAGCCAAGTGCAGGGTCCAGCACCTGGGTCACAGCAATCCCAGGCACAAGTACAGGTTGGGCAGAGAGTGGATAGGGAGCAGCCCTGAGGAGAAGGACTTGGGAGTGTTGGTGGATGAGAAGCTCAACGTGAGCCAGCAATGTGCACTGGCAGCCCAGAAAGCCAACAGCATCCTGAGCTGCATCAAAAGAAGTGTGACCAGCAGATCCAGGGAGGTGATTCTGCCCCTCTGCTCTGGTGAGACCCCACCTGGAGCTCTGTGTCCAGCTCTGGAGTCCTCAGCACAGGAAGGACATGGACCTGTTGGAACGGGTCCAGCAGAGGGCTGTGAAGATGATCAGTGGGCTGGAGCACCTCTGCTGTGAAGACAGGCTGAGAGAGCTGGGGGTGTTCAGCCTGGAGAAGAGAAGGCTCCGGGGAGACCTTAGAGCAGCCTTCCAATACCTAAAGGGGGCCAACAGGAGAGAAGGGGAGGGACTCTTTGTCAGGCAGTGTAGTGATATGATGAGAGTTAATGGTTTTAAGCTGAAAGAGGGGGGATTTAGATTAGATACCGGAAAGAAATTTTTTACTGTGAGGGTGGTGAGACACTGGAACAGGTTGCCCAGAGAAGCTGTGGATGCCCCATCCCTGGAGGGGTTCAAGGCCAGGCTGGATGGGGCTTTGAGCAGGGGGGCTGGAACTCGATGATCTTCCAACTCTAACCATTCTATGATTTCTTTTCTTAGAAGTGACTGTTGGATACTGAAATATATTTTTTTTTCAGATTGGAACATGGTGTGATCAAATCTATAACTCTTTCAATGTTGAAGTGCTAAGTACCAGCTACAACTACTTGAGCTGTTGAGTTCTACAGTTCTAAATCTGGGCTGATGGATTTTATTTTTTTTTTTTCGGGCTGGAACTCGATGATCTTCCAACTCTAACCATTCTATGATTTCTTTTCTTAGAAGTGACTGTTGGATACTGAAATATATTTTTTTTTCAGATTGGAACATGGTGTGATCAAATCTATAACTCTTTCAATGTTGAAGTGCTAAGTACCAGCTACAACTACTTGAGCTGTTGAGTTCTACAGTTCTAAATCTGGGCTGATGGATTTTATTTTTTTTTTTTCTCTCCAAACACAACTTCTCCATTCTGCTTCCATTTCTGTGTAGTATGAGGACCTGGAGTACTTTCTCTGCTGATTTCTTTGCAACAGCCACATCACTGTTATCTCCTTCCTGTTTCCTTCTGCTTAAAAAGGAAAAATGTGTAAGTAAACTAAAGTTACAGAACACTTTCTGCCAATTTTTGTACTCTGAAGCGTTCATTTTCCCCAACAGCACTACATGTTACCATCAAAACAATACAATAATTAGGGATTAGTTCAGCAAGAATCCTGAATTCATATATATCAAAATGTTTAGAACATGCTGTCCAACATGAGCTGTCAAAATGCTTAGATCTTTTCATTTATTTACAAGTAGCATCTCAGCTGTGAATATTCTGGTTTTATCACAGTAAGCTTGATACCTGACATATTAGTGCCAGTCCGCATGGAATGACTCAGTTTAATGCGGTATTTCCCTTCGGGGACATAAACAGCAAAAGCAGTTATTCACCTCTACTGCACATCCAGAGGCACATTTATCAAAATGTTTCCAGAGAGACTCTGTGCATTCTGCCTTGCAGTCAAAATATCTAAGAGCCTAAGAGTTAAAAAAAAAAAGTCCTTCTGAAAGGAATCTAGAGAAATAAAAACAAAGTAAAAATTGGCTTGCATATCTAGTTACCAGATATTTCTTGCTTCTGTGTCGAGTATAAAGTGTAATTAAAAATTTATTCAGTCACTAAGTACAGCTGGAACAGCCATTTTGAGAAACCTGCTTTTCATTTTGCCAATCTCTTCTAACTTTGTACTGTCTTGCAGAAGTCTTATTTCTGCTCTGCAACTCATGTCATTGAACACTAATCTGAGCAAAGCTCAAAGGATGGAATGTCCCTGTCCCAAATTCTGGGCTTGAACAGGAACAATATAGAATGCTTAGGGTTATTACATCTCTTCACCCTTAGCAAAACTGTGTGTTCCTGTGCTGCTTGCTCACACGTCCATAGATAGTAAATGCAGCTGATGTGGAACAAACTTTGCTTGAACACGTAGAAATACTTGCTATACCAGTGCATCCTAAGATTGTGTTAAGGCTGGGTCTCACAATCCCACTGCAAAACAAAACCAAAATTATTCTGTTTGTATATTCATTTTGTTAATTTGAATGTCCGTTTTGATATAAATGAAAAAATTGATAACCTGTCAAGAACGAGTTCAAGGCCTGAGTACTACAAAACTATAGTTTCATTCGTATTTGGTTCTAATTTTTAGTTACATGCATAGAAATAGATGAGTTCACACTTATAGTTCAGTCCTACAAGTGTAATTGTAGACAGTTATCTGTCTGTTGCTTTAGTTTCAAGGTGACTGTTTCCTGATAATCTAAGAAGAAATTTTTATTTTCATAAACTTAAAAGTTACTTTACCAAAGTATAAATCAACAGTGGACTATTGTAATGCAAGAGTCATGTAAATGGATTTTAAAACTTAACAGGGTTATAACCTATTTTCTGAAAACTGAGTACATTCAAATAACTAAATACAGAAATACTAATGATTGAGCAAGTTTTCCTCACTTTTTCAAGGCTCATTGTATTGTTGGGGATACTCTATTTGTGTTCTTAGTTATATGTGTTTTTCCCTAAAATTCAGGTCTACATTGGCACCTTTCTGTACAAGATCCCCTTGTAGCTGAACTGGAAATTGAAACATTAAGTTAGTGCGTGCTCTCTGTCTGTGAATCTGTAATTACAGACTTATTACACTCTTTCATTGTTTACTTTTCAGTCCACTTGCTGGATGCTTATGTGGAGTTGTGACAAAGGTGAATGAAAAAAGGTATGAAACATGGTGTTTTTAAAAACAGCCACTTGATATCTATTAAATGCCACTTCACCATTCTGTAGCAGCTGTTGTGGAAAGTAAAGCGGCTTCTCCAGAAAATCCGTGTCTGGCTACAGAAAATGAATTTGTGGGAAAGCCATCAGTGCCGGGTGTCAGCAGCTGGCTGCTGTCATGGAACTGCTCTCCTGTCACAGCCGAGGACAGGCACTGCTGGCGACGAAGCCTGTGAGAGCATGAGATAACAACTTCACCCAGAGCAAGGACCTCACTGCAAGGACATCTCTGTCGAGATGATAAAACTCAACTTGCAGGTATATCTGGGGAGCTGTGTCTTCCATGCGTTTTTATGCATAATTCTGCAGGTAAGATCCTTTGCATTGCAATCATTCTGTTTTCAAATAGTTTAATCTAGTGTTAGATATCTGACAACTGAAAATGTGTCAGACAGGGAACCGCTATACCCAGGAGAGCACGTGGAGCGTTTGCCCGGGCGGCAGCTGGGGACCTTCTGCCCATCCCTGTGGGGTTGGCCGCCTGCTCTCCCGCCTCTCACATGGCAAAACCTTGGCTCGGGGCCGCTTGTGTAGTTTTACTGCGACGTGCTGGCTGCATACAAGGAGGAAATGAAGTCAGCCACAAGACATGCTTGTGGACTTTTCATGGAAGGGGGTAGGTACACTGGTGAAGTAGTACAGCTGGGCTAATGGTCCTCTATAATGTTACTGTACTGCACACGCAACTCCTAAATAAACTCGAGAGATTGCTGGTGAGGAGTCCCTAGACCACAGCAAAAATTAAGCAACAGGTCTTTAAAATAAAGCAAATTTTATTGCATGAAGTAATAACGGGATGTGATAAGGGCAGAGGTCCTTGCTGGAATCACTGTTGCATCTGTACCACGTGGAAGGGGAAAAGCTGGGCTGCCAGGAAAGGGTTGCTGCCCACCTATGGGCTCTTACAGATGTGGTGCCATCCTGATTAGCTGCACATTTGAATTTGGTCACTGTAAAAAAGACTAAGAACTCACAACAGCAGTAATTACAGGTCAGTGAAGATGTCTTGCAGTTATGCAGAGAAAAAGCAAATTTCAGTACAAGGATTACGCAAACTGGCAGAATAAGTAAGCACACAGTCACCTTTTTTTAAAAAATAGTGTTTCTACCACTTCAACTTCATAAGAAAAAACTTGGTGGCATCAATCAAGTACACTCCAGAGCAGTAATGATTCCCAAATAGAAAAGAGTGTGAGACGTGCACTGAGATGGAGAAGATGTTTTTGTTGTTGTCTCACGTAGACTGTGACCACATTAGCACTTGAGACTACGTTGGTGTCCTGATAAACATCACTTTGGACTGTCCAGTGAATGTAGGTGCTAAAGTATAGAACCATATTTTTTTTTCAGGTTAAGCCATTAAATATTAGTTTTGTGATTTAACAAATTCATAGCTACAACATGCAGAAAGACTGAATAGTCTCTTGATGAAGTGAGCAGTAGTATACATTTTATGGCAAAGAGAACTGATGGTTGCCAGACATTTCAGCAAAGTACAGAAATACTAAGTATTTAATATACAAGGATGGCATTCGATTGTGTAATCATAAACAAAAATACAAAGGAAGAGCTCTTAAAAAAAGAGAAAAAGAAAGAAAAGCTGTACAGTCAGTTTATCAAACTACTGAACAGTGGGAATTGCATTTTTTATTCTGGCTTTAAGAGAACTTCTTCATGAAGTGCAGTTTCAGGTATGCAATGGTAAGGAATATTACTGTCATGCAGGCGAGAGCCAGGTGGTTCTGCCACAGGCCCCAGGTACTCGCATCAATGCCTTGTTTTTTCAGGTATTCATCACCGCTACAGAACCTATGGATAAATACACACACATTTACAAACTTAGTCAGTTTGAGGTGCCTGGGAAGATCCCTAGTGCAGTGTGATTTAATGTCTATAGTAGGCCAGGCAAACACCAGCTGTATGTCACTATTTTATTTTCTATTTGTAAATAGCTGCAATCGGCTTCCTGTAGGAAGCTGGAATGGATTTTTTGAGGCTGTGTAATTGTAGTGTGCGTTTCTGTGTTTCAGTGAATGCAGTTAAAAGCAAGAAGCATAATGCCAGATATTTCTAGCTTATAAATACTAAATATGACAATAAGCAAAATGTTCTTTGCAGACAGAATGTAAAAACCCAGTCAAAACTTCATTTTCCGTATAAAAATTCACAGACTCATGCGGTAGGACTTTCTAAGTCACTGGCAGTGTAATGTACCAAATTCATTTTAATATACCAAAATACTTACATCTCACTTATCTGTTGATAATTATCGTTGCTGATTAAGTTTGTGTTGTTACTGCTGCCGCAAAAGTTCAGACCAGCCAATTCATTGATTTGTAAAGCCTTTTAAAAGAAAAGAAATAATGACAACACGAATTAGTAGGTAAAGAAATATGTTAACAAGATGAGATATAATTCAATTCAAAATTATTCTAAAAATGTGATGATATCACCACTTATTATGTTGGCCAAATCCCCATTTTTTAGCCAAGCAGCACAGTTCTTTTTCTTCTAAGAAAGGAATTCATGCAGTCCACATGCACATCACCAGGCTTCAACACTTCCCCCAGGCTGGACTATTTCTGCACAGGCATATTAAAGCCCAAATTTATCTGCAAAACATCACCCTTGCTTAAATTATGAAATGAAAAGTTTTAGCTCGACAGGTCTTTGTTTGTCTGATGCAAAAGAGCAGAATTGTGTTTTAGGGATAGCATTGTTATTTACTCTGTATTGCTTTTGTCCAACTGCATTTCAGTGGACGTGGTCCCTCTCGTGTGGTGAGAGTGTGTCTCGTATGAGGGGTTTCCAAGATACCGAGCGAGCTCTTCTAAACAGCAGTGGGTGCTGGCTGATGAGAAGCCTTTCTTGTTTCAAGGTACTGCACTGTGTTCTGAGGTTGCTGTATTTAATTAGCTCATGGGCTCATTAGCCCATCAAGTTTGGAGTTTTCTTTGTCATGAATGAAGACACTCCTTTCTAGGTAATCTTTTCCAGATCTGTACACAGGAAAATACAGCACTTACTGTCATTCCGTATCGAGGGATGCTAAAGTATTGGAGCCAGGAGAGCCAGGACACGATGCTTGTGAGGTTGACCAGCAACCCAGAGAAAATCTAGAGACAAGGATTACAAAAAAACCCCAACAGTAACAACAAAAAAACAAATTATACATTACATGCTGTTACCATGTGTTCTTTTCTAGCTCTTGACTCTGCTTCTTCAGATTAAAAACAAGTGGAAAGGCATTTCTAGAGGAAGAAACTCTTCCAGTGGAAGAACACAGGAGAGGGAAGGAGTCCCTTCTGCTGCCCAGCTTTGGGCTGTAACCCCATGTGGTTCTCACGAAATGTGTAAGGGGGAATGCTTTCACCCATGCCTCAAACTCAGATGCTTCCCATCTGTGGGTCCCACATGGGGTTCACATGAAGTGCCTGCTGTTAGTTGGGGGTGCGGGGCGGGTGGAGGTGTGTATTCACTTTTGCTCCTGTGCCCTGAAACTGAGGCAATGTGGGTTTTGGCTGTTGGTTCAGGGCTGCTGTTTCTCATTGTTTCTGGTGCCTGTCTTCTAACTGTGGCTGTTTGTGTGTTGTCTGGTTGACGTGCCCGGTGGTTGGCTCTGGCTGAGGAGGGCAGCTACAGTAGTGGTCTCAGAGAGCAGGAGGTTGTGGGTCATGTCCTCAGCTAGCCAAATTTGTCTTTGGCAAAGCTAAAGAAGAGTGAACGAAATGTAGCCACAGGCCCCTTTTCTGCTTTCCAGGCAGGATGCTGCTGCCAGAGCCACAGAGAGAGGGTAGAGGAACCTCTCTCCCTCCCTTTCACACCCAGCCCCCCTAGTCCCTTGGTTCTTTTTAGTTAAAAGGAAAAATCAGAATATTTCGCCCCACAGTATCAAAATATTCAAATCAGACGAATTAGGATAATTGACATGCTTGACCCCACAGTCTTTTTGCAGAATTCAGCTGAACGCTGTGCTGGTAGGATTTCTTAGATTTCAGCATTGCTAGGATTTCAGGATTCAGTCTAGAAAACTGGATAATGCTACTCACAATCATAAAAACAAATGTGATAGTCATTAGCAGGTTTGCCACAGCGACCACGCTCTGTCCTGCTGCAATGGCTAATGCCATAGAAGTGGCTGCGTAGGACACCATCATAAGGGTAAACATCATTGTAAAGAAGGCTTCTATTGTTGGTTTCAAACCTTAAAGATCAGAACAAGAAGGGTTTCAGTAAGATCCTGCCAAAAGCTTCTCCAAAACCTGAACACTATCCTGACGTATGTAGTGTATTCTGCCTACAGATTACATTTTGTCTGACAGCATAGGCTACATCTCTGAGACCCAGTGGGGCTTGTCACAGTCCGTATGTGTATACCATGTCAACAGAGAGTAAGATGAATAATCATAGAATCATAGAATGGTTACAGTTGGAAGGGACCTTAAAGATCATTGAGTTCCAGCCCCCCCCTGCCATGGGCTAGTCCTCCCACCAGACCAGGTTGCTCAAAGCCCCATCCAGCCTGGCCTTAAACACTTCCAGGGATGGGGCATCCACAACTTCTCGGGGGAACCTGTTCCAGTGTCTCACCACCCTCACAGTAAAGAATTTCTTCCTAATATCTAATCAAAATCTCCTCTCTTTCAGCTTAAAACCATTACCTCTCATCCTATCACTACACTGCCCGATTAAGAATCCCTCCCCATCTCTCCTGGAGGTATTGGAAGGCTGCTACAAGGTCTCCCTGGAACCTTCTCCTCTCCAGGCTGAACAACCCCAACTCTCTCAGCCTGTCTTCATAGAATAGTACTCTGAGCAGTAGTATGACTGTAACTACACTAACATTGGAGACTGAGAATGAGTAGAAGTTACAGTATTGTGCTTCACAGAGTCCAAGGTGAAGGCTTCAATGTGGCTTCAAGTTGTCTATCGAAGGAGAAATTTCTAGTGCACTTCCCTGGGTGGCAGTTGTACAGCATTTCACTTGTTTCCATCAAGAGCTCTCCTAATGGACCTAGGAGTCTTTGAGTAGCTATGAATTTGGTACCAAGGTCTATCTCACTCCAGTTTCACACTCTAAAAGCCTCTTGGTGAAGCAGTTATGTTTCCTATTCTTTTGGGCAAAAAACTCAGACCGAAGTGAACTGTGATTATTCTTAAATTTTACTTGTACTTTCAAGCTTCTGGGACATCCCAAAAGATGTCATGATCTGAAACCTTACCCTAGGAAAATAGCCTGCTTGGGACATATTTTGAGGTTGATATTTGAAGGGTTGTAAAAGTTGATGCCAGAAATTTTCAGTCTGCTCACTAACCAGAAGGCTTACCAGAAGGGTCACCAAAAATAACAAGCTGATATTAATTCACACACTATTAAGTTTTTAAAGCAAAACTTTTTCTTTGATAGGTGTTCTTGCAAGGATGGAACCAGTATCTTGTAAAAGCTGCCGAAAGTTAAGATGGGCATAAATGAAAAGGAATAAATTGAACCGATGTAGTAATGGTTATGCCACGCTTCCTTCTAGGGGCAGTAGAGATGAGACATGTCACAGATTATGACAGGAATGCTGAAATCATTGAAAGTATGTTTTTTCTGTAAACAGCATGGTATACTAAAAGCAAGCACCATGCCGAGGTAGTGCTTTAGCCTATATAAATCTACATGCACTTATATAAAATGTGAGTGCCTTGTTGATTTATTGAGAGGATTGTAATGGGACTGTAGGAGACCATACTTGCCTAACATGAAGTAAATTATACAGGTGAAGATGATACTTGGCAAAGTCCTCATGGGCAGTAAATCAGCCATTAGCTTTGAGATGAAATACACAGATGTTCTGTAGTACCCACTGATATATTCATGTCTGGAACACAGAGATATGTAAAGCATATTACAAATTTAATCCCTAAAACCCAGTAAAATTATTTTCACCTGGAGACATATGAATTCTAGCTCAAACTGGAAAAAAAAGAGTTCTTTCATGGTTAGACTGTAATGCAACATCCAGTGAGCCACACGATATGGTAAGAGTAGCATTTTCATATGCAAATGAATATGGATACTCGTGCACAGAATTTTTAGTAAATATGTGTCATGTCATCAAAACAGAGAGAGGGAGCAAAGTTTAAATAATTCTGTACAGTGTAATCTGCATAGCTTTAAAGAATCCAGTTATGCGGTATTTTCTGTCCTTGCTAGTGAGTCACAAACTTATTAGTCAATACCTAAACTGGGTATTCAGGGTTTTATTTCCTACATATCTTAATAATTTTAAACTCTGAGCCATTTGCAATCATAGGTACTGTTTTGGGGATTTGCAGACTACTCACTAACAGACTATGAGAGAGCATTTGCAATGAGCACTAGCAGTGAAACAAGTTGAAAAGTCTGCACTAGGTGTACTTGAATGACAATTAGCTACAGCAGGGCAAACAAACAAACTCTTTAACAGTATTCCCTGGTAACTTTTTTTTGTAATATTTTACTTACATAAATATCTTTTTTTCCACAACAAAAAGTTCAATAGCTGAAATGCTGCTGAAACACTGGTTGGTGGTCAGAAAGAACATTGCACCCACTCTACAAAAAGCAAAACAGCAAGCTGTTATTAAAAATGTGATGTAACTGTAGTTCTTCTACTACAGCCCATGTAAATCCCACTGTAGTCCCTGGGCTCGGCAGTGTGTGACCTCCCATCCCAAATTCCATGGGAAAAGGCTTGGCTACAAGTGTGAGTCCATAACAAAGCTGAAGTAGATGTGGTACATTTTTATTTGCATGCAAGGAAAGTATTCCCTCTGATGCAGTCAATGGATAGAAAATGAACTGATTTTCCATATTTTTTTTTAATGTCATTTTCTGACATGTTAAAAATTCTCCGTCTGTGAGGTATTTGTCTGATGCAAGCTGTGAGGAACTAAATTAGCAATGTGAGAAGTTGTTTTCACCTTTTCCACAAAGACTTTGCTTTCACACTTTCATATCCAATTTAAAACTGGGCCATTGTAAAGTAAATGGTATGAAATATTCCAAGACCAAGAACCCAGAGTTTTCTTGGTTACAAGCCCATTTGTCAGGTCATGGACCTACAGCTGTCAAAATGATATGTAGACCAAAATAATTTTAAAAACCAGATTTAGATGCACCTTCTGACTTCCCGCTGGTAAACTCTAGTGTTTATACAGAAGCAGTTGCAAAATCAAAGCTTTAGTTACCCGATTTCATGTACCCAAGTCTGTATATTTTAATCTTTAACCTTTTTATCCTGGGGAAATCTTTGCAGGAAGTTAGTTAAAATGCTGCCATGCTGAAAAAATCCTTTTAAATATGATGTCTGCTGTTGGCAGCAGCAACCTGACTGGCACTGAAAAAATGTCATTCTACCGAAGCGGCATTACTCCCTTCCTTTGGACTGCCTGTCCAGGGTACAGCACGGCAGGGCAGAACTGCAGCCCCTGCTTACTTTATGGGGACCTTGCTAGAGGCAGAAGAGCGTCCTCACTTCAAAGTCTCCCATGTAGGCTTGGCCTTACATGTTGACGTGAAAGGAAGCATTTGCTTTACAGAGGTAAGTATATTTCATAAAGAGCTCGTGAGTTCCTTCTCAGCCTTCAAGCTGTTTGTTATCCTACTGCAGCAATGAGGGAGCTTTCTCAAATCTTTGGATATCCATTACCTAAAATGACTAACCTGTTCTGTAGTCCAGTGGAGTCCTCTTTAAGTCCAAAGAAAATAGCACCTACAACCAATCCCAGTAAAGCCGTAACACACAACTAAATATAAAAAAAAAAAAAAAAAAAAAAAAAGAGAAAAAGATTATAAAAGAGCGGAAAGGAGCGTGTGAAAGCAGCCCTCCGGGTCGCTCTGTTCCTCAGCGGTGACATTTCCTGTACAGACCACAACAAAAAAAAAAAAAAAAAAAAAAAAAAAAAAGAAGAGGAAAAGTATTATTCTCATTGCTTTCAAAGCTTCAACAGTTTTTCTGAAACATACAGTGGGTGAGTGTGGATTGGCAGGAAGCATTTTCAGAAAGGAGAAAAGCTGTTACAGATGGGAAGGGAGTAGATGGGTGTTGAGTCTTGCACCCCGGTATTGGGGTCACAGTGGGTGACTCCCCATCTGCTGTCAGTGGCAAGAGTAACTTAGCTCTAGGGCTGGACACAGCTCTTCAGTGCAGTGCTTCTGCGGTGGTTTCTTTGGAGCCACCTCAATGGTGCTTTGAGCTTGGCAACCCGTAACCAAAAGCAGTCTTTCCTGACTGCCGGGTTCAGGATGACAGTTTATTTTCATGCTCCACGCTGTACAATTGCTGGGTTCTATCACACACCCTATTCACGGGATTCTTTTTAACATGAGCAAGATACTACAACTGGGCTATAGGTTTACTGATATTTGCAGGCTGTAATATAATTTAAATAGCAAAGATACCAGCTGCCTCAAAGATATAATTTGAAAGACTTAAGTGTATACATTGCAGTTTTTTATGCTAAATGCAAATGACAAAAATCTCAGCAAAACGGATGGTATCGGGCAGTTCTGCCATTTCTGATCACAAGCAATGCATGAATCCTAAGACCATAAACCCGTTGTTGATCTGTAGTACCCTATGACTAAGGTCCTGCTGAAAGGGAAGGTAATATAAAATGAGGTATCAGAGATAATTCAGGTCCTAAGCCAATTGCAGAGGAAAGCAGGGATCATATCAAGACTAATTTGGAGATTAATGAAAAAAGGCTTAATGAGCCATGTACCTCTCAAAGAATGCTTGTAAAATCCACCCCTAATGAGGGTGGGGAGATAGAAAAGATTGTGAGAAACAAGTCAGGACTGTTAACCTTGGGGTATTACGAGATCTTTGCAAGACTAATTCTTGTCACAAGGTCAAGCTTTTACAAAGCAATTATTAAGGATCTCCATACTATCAACATACACGCACACACATAGGCTCAAAGCTTTTTAACCTCAGGGATTATGGACTCATTTCTCCTCCACGCTGGTCATTTCACTCATTATATAAATCATGATGAAGATAGTTTCTACCCTTCGTTCAGGAGCAATTTTGTATTGGCTCCATTAAAATTGCTGAGAATTGCAGTGGGAGATTTCTGGTGCTGGGACTGCAGAGTTTGGCTTGTGAGTTAGGGGATTTCTGAGGATTAGTCGTTCTGCAGAGGTCAGCCAGGCATTCTTTCTTTTTGAAGGCAATGCACAGCTTGGAAGAAATCAACACGTTTTGTGTTTGATTCTTCTGAAAAATCACTACTAACAGGGCCAGCCATGCAGAACATGCTTATCTTCCATGGCAGGTGTTGGATCCTGGTGTGGTCTTCATCACATCTTCTCCAGAAGACCTCATCACTATTATGAACAGTCAAATGACACGAGACTGAAAATATTTTTATACTTGAGCCAAGTTCCAGCACTTCATTGTGTGATGGACTTTAATTCAGCATGCAAGTGTAGTCCATTACCCCACAGTACCAAGCCTGGACAATTAGAGTCTGAAAAATATTCTTAAGCAAATGTGTGAAACTCCTTCGGAGATAATCTGCTCCTGGCTGGGAGCAGCAGACTAGCCTGCTGCAAAAGGTCTTGCCTCCCAAAATCTTTCAGTAGTCTAAAATTAATTACTGAACGGTTCCTCATGCTGCTTATTTGGGAGTGTTCAGGACACCTTCTAGTGAATCATATTTCCACTCTTTTGAACACTCTTTCATCAGATGCTTACTGCAGTCAAAATATGAAGATGCAAAACCATCCCGATGATTTATCTAATACAGGAGTGGAACCAAATCAATTTATACCACAAAAGGATAGATACAAATAGCATTACCTGAGCTATGGAAGCTTGAGGGTTTCCTAACAGATTTTTAAATGTGCGCCTGGATACCCATTTCAGCTGATGAAGGAAGGAATTGGCATACGTGATTTGTCGGAAAATGGCTTTTGTTTTCTTTGTATTTCCCAAAGAAATATTCTCTAATGCTGTTTTTGTTTCTTGGTAGTAGGTGGAGTTGGAGTATCTTTCTGCTAACTTCTCGGCCAAGGTTGTATCATATTCAGTACGTTCTTCTGCTGAGAAGACTAAAAAGAAAAGTGACTGTTTCTGTAAGGGTCAGGAAGATTATTAGGGATTTAAGCCAGGAGACATGTCGGGGCGGGAGAGTTATTAATGAACCAGAAGAATTAAAACACAAGTTTCATTCCCATGATTCATTGTACTCAGTCTTATAGCATGCAATTAAAAAGAGTCAATATAAATAAGACCAAACCTCTGTGTATGTGCAACCTGTCCCACAGGCATTGTCTTCACAGCAGGCTATGTAAACACTTCTCTGCTGATAAAGTTTCAAACTGGCAGCAATCTGACTTTTAATCAAAAAGTGATTCCCCCCACACACCCCCCAGTTTCTGTAAGTGGTCTGTTTTCACAGATCTGATAAAATAATCCCAGACCTCCCAGACTTTTAGATCCAAGTAATCCTGCATATGTCTGCTTCGTTCGAACTTGTGAGTCTGTCATAAAGAAATTTCAGCTGGAGCTCACTTTTTTCTCAACTGTTGTCCCATGTGAGCTTTTCCAATGACAAATACACGTGTTGCCAGCTATAATATTAGTCGGACCCTGGACATACTCAGCATTTTTGTAAAATGCTGGTTGCTTCTTTGGTAAAGGATATAGTGAAGGGCACATAGCATATAGTTATTTCATTTCCCTTTTCATTCATGTGAAAAGAGCGTGCTATTAATGAGTAGCAACTGATAGGATGAAAAAGGGTGCTGCTGAATGTAGGTGAGATTTGATTTGTTAGTTTGAGGATAATTTCTGCCTTACTACAATTTCAGGGAAACATCAGGAGAATATCGGTCTCGTAGCTCTATTCCCCTCTCCCACCCTACTCAGAGGCAGGAAAACAATAATTTCGTAACAGATGAACCATTCCATTAGGTAAAAAATACAAGTCATAGCTGCAGCAAATCATGTCCCTAAGTGCAACAATTGTCCTTGGCTTCTGCAGGACTTCATTTGGTTTGCATCAAAGATGAAACAAGCTCCTTCTCTGTGTCGAGAAGTGACAAAACAGCTTCTTATATTTCCAGACATTATAATTTCAACACAGGAAGATATTCTTTCACCTTTAACATCTCGTAATTTGAGTGTGACACAAAAATATACAGGTCATTTTATGAAGAACTGGATAGCAATGATAAATTACTAAATACCTATTTATGAGAGGCAAACTGTTCTTGCATAGACACAAATGTTTTATATAGTTGGGCTGTATGTGAATTTAGTACTTACTTCAGGTTATGCTAATTATTTTTCACTTATAAACAAAAAGGATTTAGGAATAGCATGGTGGTTTTATTTTTTCCTTTTAAAGTAAAATGGATCAGCAGTACGTAATACATAATGCATATGAATAACTGTATGCTTGTACACCACGGTTATTGGTTGTTTGACACCTGTAACAGCCTTGTGCTAGACACCTTCTGGCAAAATACATGCTGTGATAATTTCACTCAGCTCTGGGTTTCATACCTGTGTTAGCGTCATCAGTCTTGTTCATTGCCACCGCAGTGGAATCTCCATTAATGATGTCCAGGAAAAAGTCAGCAGGGTTGTTGTACGGCTCACACTGGTAGCCTGCGGTGACAGGATCACAAGCCCTAAGTGGTGGTTGTGTACCTGGCAAAAGCCTGAACACAGCCACACCGTTGTGCCTGTTGAGCAGCCTGCACCAGAAGCATTGCAGCCTTCAAAAGGTCCGTGCTTACCCAAGGGCTGAATGGCACTGCCTGACACCTCTGCCAGTGAAAGTAAAGGGACAGCTGGCAATGTGCCCTTCTCAACCATAGCCTGGGCTTTGCCTAATTAGATGCACCCATGAACGTTGATTAGAGGTCAGCCCTATCATCCAAACCCACATACAGGTCAAGAGGTGAAACACCAAAAGAAATGCTTAGCCTGTTAAAATCCCAGGTTTGCTATTATGCACTATATCCAATTCTGATCAAGCACTATTGGCATTTTATTCAAGTTAGTGCAAATTAAGGCTGTTGCTGCACTTGGCCCTGCTGTGAGTTGTGCTCACCGACAGACTGGAAGTACTCGATGGCATTCTGAGCGGGCCCGTGGTACAGCACTCTCCCTGCAGCCAGCAGTGTCAGGTTGTCAAACAGTCGGAATATGGAGTACCGAGGCTGGTGGATGGAGAAGATTATTGTTTTTCCTTGTTTTGACATCCTGAATGTGAAGTGAGGAATGACACAGATATTAGCGCTGCAAGTTGATTCAGTATTTAGATAAGAGAATTTGCAAGTTCGGTTAAGCCTTGGTTAGTTTGATTAATTTGGCATGCCAGAGAGGGAAGGGGAAAGGAAAAAAAATAAAAAAGAAAAAGAAAATATTTAGTTCATATTTATAGTGGCTGTGTGAGAAAAGAAGGATCCTTCTCACTAGGAATCTTGTTGGAGAGGAAAGTCCTGGGAAGATTTTGATGCAAACAAAAAGCTCTGGAGAGAGGTATTTGAGTCCTCTTCACTTGTGGTAAATGCAAAATGATTTGAAATTTGCAAAGAAAGAGTGTGTTGTACTTGTTTTCCCAAAGATAGGCCTGAGATTTTGTGATGGGGAAACAGCTACCTGTGTTCTAACTACCATCCATATTAAAATCAATCACCTTACCAGACTGTACAACAGGTATATTGATCACTTTTCTGGCCTGGGCAGACATGAAAATAACTGAAGTTGTCCCTGACAGCTATCACAGACAAACTGCAGTCCCAGCAAGTACACGCTTTGTGCAACATACTTTCTATAGTGCTCTGAGCAGCTACTTTACAGTGAGATAATTCACACAGCTAATAACCCCTTTGCAGCTTTGGCTCACTGGTAAACAGTTTCATGTCTGATTTCCCTGTTTGCTCATTGTAACTGTAATTTAAGTCAGGTACAACTGAACTGTGGCAGAGTTGAGTGGTGATAACAGGAAGCTGTTTCCAGGGCCATCACCTTTTCAGTAGCAGTAGGACAGCGTTAGCAGTGCTGGCATCAAGCCCTGTAGTTGGTTCATCCAAAAACAAGATCGCAGGATCCGTGATGAGCTCCATTCCAATATTGGTCCTCTTCCTCTCTCCTCCAGACACCCCACGAGTGAACTGGGTGCCAACCTGCCACAAAACAAGAAATTTGTCTCGTTTCGCCTGGTAACAAATACTGGAGTGAGCAGTAACCTATCAGCCTGTCAGCATTTGGGAAGAATTGTAAGGAGCTTTGACCCTACTCTCAGGTACAGATGTAGCTGTTACCTCACACATAGGCCATTTCTTAACATTTGTATTACTTGCTATGTTCTCTTTTTCTCCAACCACAGACTACCTTTCCCCTTCCTTGCAATGTAATAGCATACAGCAGCATCAGTGCAGAGTCTGTATGGATTGCCATACAAAATGTTATTAATTTTATTACTGAAATAGTCCGTTTAATTTTACTTTTTTTTTCTCTGCCACACTGAGCCATTTGGTTAATTAAATACATCACTTAATATTTGGCCATGATTTAAGCACCGTATTTACATGCCTTACCTTGGAATCTGCCACTTTGCTCAAGCCCAGTTCATTGATGATCTGATTCACTCTTTCATTTTTTTCCTGTTCCTTCACTGACCTTGGCAAACGGAGCGCTGCCGAGAACTTCAGATTTTCTCTTACAGTCAAGGTTCCCATCACCACATCATCCTTCATTAAAAAAAAAAAAGATACTTGATTATCAGCTTAGCAATTTCTATTTTACCCTATTAAAACTGCATCTACCTGTGGTTTATGTTTTCCTTGCATGCAGAGGGACAGTAGCAACTGCTAGAACGTGCATTAAGGTGCATCTTCAATGCTTGTGTCATAGCAGAGAGTTGATTTCATGCACACAATTATATTTGCATTCATCGCCAATATAGGAACATGCTCCATCATGCATGATATCAAAATGCATAAATAGCAACATACTCAAAACAATCCGTCATGTATTTCATAGAATCATAGAATGGTTAAATTTGGAAGTGACCCTAAAGATCGCCAAGTTCCAACCCCCTGCCCTGGGCAGGGACACCTCCCACAAGACCAGGTTGCTCCAAGCCCCATCCAGCACAGCCTTAAATACTTCCAGGGATGGGGCATCCACAACTTCCCTGGGCAACCTGTTCCAGTGTCTCAACACCCTCAGAGTAAAGAATTTCTTTCTGGTATCTAATCTAAATCCCCTCTCCTCCAATTTAAAACCGTTACCCCTTGTCCTGTCACTGCACTTCCTGACAAAGGGTCCTTCTCCAGCTCTTCTCTAGGCACCTTTCAGGTATTGAAAGGCCGCTATAAGGTCTCCCCGGAGCCTTCTCTTCTCCAGGCTGAACAACCCCAACTCTTAGCCTGTCTTCATAGCAGAGGTGCTCCAAACCTCTGATCATCTTCATGGCCCTCCGCTGGACCCATTCCAACAGGTCCATGTCCTTCCTGTGCTGAGGACTCCAAAGCTGGACACAGAGCTCCACGTGGGGTCTTACGAGCACAGAGTAGAGGGGCTGAATCACCTTCTGCAACCTGCTGGCCAAGCTTCTTTGATGCTGCCTGGGATGCAGTTGGCTTTCTGGGCTGCCAGTGCACATTGCTGGTTCATGTTGAGCTTCTCAACACCCCCAAGTCCTTCTCCTCAGGGCTGCTCTCTATCCTTTCTCCGCCCAGCCTGTATTTGTGCCTGGGATTGCCACATCCCAGGTGCAGGACCCTGCACTTGGCCTGGTTGAACTTCATGAGGCCCACCTCTCAAGTCTGTCCAGGTCCGTCTGGATGGCATCTCTTCCCTCCAGCGTGTTGACTGTGCCACTGAGCTTGGTGTTGTCGGCAAACTTGCTGAGGGTGTACTCAATGACTCCGTGTCTCTGACAAAGATGTTAAATAGCACTGGTCCCAGTACTGACATCTGAGGAACACCACTAGTCACTGGCCGCCACTTGGACATATTCTTGGACATATTCTTACTTTATTCAGTTTTTTGGAAGTATTGAGTGAGATACTGAAGGACTAAAGGGACCTAAGGAGCAACTACAGCTCAGGTGTGCATTTGTTAATGCAGCCTCAGCCCACCACAGCAGGGAGAAGAGAAGGAAGGAAAAGAGAAATTGTGCCCATGTGGGGTAGAGTGAAAGGTAGGGGTTTTTTTAGCTACTTGTCTCTTGCAAAAGCAATCTGTCAGCTGTAGGAAGTTCAAAGGGTTATGTGTGTTTTGAGAAACTACCTTTCTGTAACATGCTGACCGTACTTTTATAAGGCGTTTCCATAGATGCACCTCTTCAGAGCTTGATAAACTCTAAGGATGCTGCTGAGCACAGGTAGCGGGGATGGGAAAGAAATTAAAAGAGGGGTGTGGTTTTCCTTCTTTTGTGTCTCTCCCCAGCCCACCCTAGCAGGGCAAAGGTTTTGATAACAGAAAGCATACTTGGAAAATACTCCAACGCATATCGGTAGCCTACAGCTGTTCCCCAAAAAGAAGGGTGACAAAGCATTGACTCCCATTGACTGTAGAGCATTAAGAAAAGCCACTCAAATACGAAAGAGAGTCTCTTTCCTAGAGAAGGGTGGGTGTGTGGAGAGTTGTTACTGCACCAGCCTCAACTCCTGGATCAAGGCATGGTATTTGCAACACTGCACCAACTTGTTACAACTGCAATCAGAAGGGGACAATAAAATCCATACAGTGATAAAAATTACTTACCTGTACTACGTATCCAGAGGTACATTTAAAGTTGGCAGGCTGAGGAACTCCATTGATCAAAATGTCACCAGAAAGCCCATGAGGATCCTTTCTTGCAGCCAAAATGTCAAGTAAACTAGGACAAAAGTTGGTTACTTTATCAGTTGAGCGCACAGGAAGTAAGCTCTCTGAACCACAAACCCAGTTCATGGGACAAACAGTTACATAAAAGCATCCCATGTTAAACATTTGGTATTTAGAAAAGCCCCAGCAACTTTCAAGGGCTGGGTTTCTTTTGTCCTAGTTTCCTAAGGAAATTAGATCGATTCATTTTCATAGTGCTTTTGTGTCCATTCGTTCAATAAAATGAGCCTAACCTGGAATGCTATGTAAAGATTGCGTATCAAGCAAGTGTGGACTAAAACTGAATTACATTTTTGTTGCGTAAGCTGATTGTCATTTTTGAATTCAGGTATTTCTGAGAAACCAGTGTGATTTGCATAGACCTAAATGAAATGAAAAATCTTTCCCTCAAAGTATTGTCCATTACTGCTAAATATGTGCAGGTTCATTATCTCCTTGGTGTAATTTCTGTATAGGGCAAAGAGGGCACTTACGAGGATTTACCACTGCCAGTGGGTCCCAAAATTGCATTTAGTCCCGGTCTCATGATGCCACTGTAAGACAAAACAGATAGGCTTTACAAAATAGTGTGTTTTTATCTCTCTTCTCTTCCTGTTTCGTCTGGTAGGCTAGAGTAAATTATCTGTAGAACTACCTTCTGCATCCCATTAATTTTGGAATTAATGAAGCTGCCTGGTCACAAACAATATTTATGATCAGTCAAAATACACCTTAATTTTTATTCCTAATTCAAGAACTAATCTTCATATAATGAAGACAACACAGAAACTTGACTAAAATGTAGCAAAACACATATGCATACTTTTTGCCCATGGATCTCTAGAAGTGAAGCACACACTTGCTTTATCCACATGCAGTTCTACAGGTATTCTCTTAGGAGAAAGAATAATGGCCCCTGTGGACAGAACATACTATGGATTTGTCTGTACTTAAGAAAATGCAGCTGATAGTTTCTCTGTATTTGATTTTAAGCCACACGAAACTCAAAAGGTTTTTTAAGTATTTGGGGAAAAGACCCTTTACAAATTATCCAGTATATGGAACTACTACTGCCTTTTTTATCCTTTTGCTGGAGCATGTGAAGGTGTCACTGCTACTTTTCCTGACTAGCCCCTAAAATCTGAGCTCAACAAGCTTCAGTGCACACAAGAATCACACTGCACATACAAAAGCCTGTCTGTATGTTATGATACCAGGTTTATCTTGAACTGCACTCAGGTACTGATTGCTATCAGCAATCCATGTATCAGGGATCTGAGTACTTGACCATGGGTCTGGTGCTGTACAGCTGTTCTTGGGACCTACTGACATGCAGGCTAGGAGGCTTGTTTTTGGCCTTCCTGATGTGTATTTGATTCCTTCCATTTCTTATTGTGGAAATTGATGGTTCCACAGATTTAGAAGCACACGTTATGTTACATGATATGAGATTTTAACAGAAAAAACCCTATATGCAACAAAACAAATGCAAATGTTGCATTTTTTGAAAGGGAAAAGAGTAACGTGTGTTAAACATTGGTCTTTTACAATAAGCCACAAGGTGGGTCTTCTGCTCACATCGTTGAAAATGACCAATGTCAGCCAATTGAGTTACCATAACATATGGATCTTGAGGAGGGTAGGAAAGATTTTAATAGCTCTTGTTTAGGAGGTGTGGAAACTGCATGGGAAAAGAGTAGGACAGACAGAGCTATACAAAAGGGCAAATATTTATGATAGAAATTGGAGTTAGGGAGCTGAAAGTCACGCGTAACTCGGAATGGCATGTTCTATGAGTACTTGCCACTTAGTTTAACTACTGAACTGTGAATGGGCAAACTCTATGCATAGATTATTGAACAAAGGCCATAACGACGTTTCTTTCACTGCAGCAGTGCTCATGTTGGGAAAAAAAAAGGGGGAAGGAAAACAAGAGAAAAGTTTACATCTCTTGAAAGTTAACCTAACCCTCATTTACATTACTGTCTTAAACATTTTAAGTTAAAACCCTCAAAATTAACTTTCCCAAAGGCCACCTTCGGGAAGGAGGTGCAGGTATTGAAGACAGGCTGTTGGTATCTCAGTTAACCACCACAGTGCAGTAGGAGGCTTGGCAGGCAGTGCAAAACAGCCACAGCTGGCTGGCGTGCCCCGTGCTGATAGCGCCAAGGAAGGCTGTCCCTCCCTGGGGCAGGGGAGATGACAGCTCCCCGCCCTACCGGCGCAGCCATATTGACTGAGGACCACTGGGGCCTAGCTTAAGTGCAGTTGATGGCAAACACAAAGCAACCAGACATACATACAATTTTTCTAAACCTTGATCCAATCCTATTTATTGTGCTCAGAAGCTGAGTGACATGAGTGGACTAAACTGTCCGGAGAGAAACAAGACATACACATACTCTAAAGATATGTTTAAATACGTACTTGACATTTCTCAGAACTTCTTTATGGGTTGTTTTTTGAAAACACAGGAACCCAGTCTTCATCTTCACATGGTAGGAGACATTGTGGAAAGTTAGTACGCTTCCTCCCTTGCTGGCCGAGTCTGGAGAGGACTGGTTTCTGCTGGGGATACCATTTGTATTTGAGTATGACATCTGAATACTTAGGTGTGGCTGGCCTTCTGCCATTTTTCCTGTATAAGTAAAAAAACAGGAAAGGGGAAGATTTGATTAAGTATGGAGAGGAAAGATATCTGTTGGGTGCAGTATTTTGTGCTGGACCTGCTGTGGGCTTTGCAGATGTCCATCTAGGTCTTTCTCTTCCAGATAGGAAGTATAGGTCCTGTGAGCTCAGCCCTTGAGGCGACACAAAGCTGATGGGGAGCTGAGTCTGCAACATGTGATTTAAGGGAGATAGAAGAGCCTCCCTCTACCCCAATGGTCTGTTGTGGTGGGTTGACCTCAGTTGGCCATCAGATGCCCATCCAGTTGCCCTCTCAGGTGAATCTCTGCTCTGGTGCCTGGACTACCTCCTCCCCCTCCTTCTTCACTGGCCTTGGAGTCTGCAGGGTTGTTTCTCCCACATTCCTCTCTTACAGCTGCTACACAACATCTTTTATGCTTCCTTAAGTAGATTTTCAGAGAGGCACTGCCAGCATTACCAACATGTTCAGCTTTGGCCAGCAGCAGGTCCACTGGTTCCAGATGGAGATGCCTGTGTCTGGCACAGGGCAACCCCAGGTCCTTTCTCACAGAGCTCCCCCTGCAGCAGCACTGGGACATGGGACTAGGACAGCTGTGTCTGTTCTCCTGGTAGGAGGGAGTAGGTACCTCTCACAGCAGGCACTAGCATGACATCGTGCCCTTTCTGGAGGGCTGCCCATTGAGAGAGAGCTGCGTGCTTGCTGGAAACCATAGGTACAAGAAGTCACTCACCAAAAGATTGGCTCAAAATTATTGAGGTCCAAAACGACCTGGTCTTCTGGCCATCTGCTTCATCAGACTTCTTTCTATTTTTGAATGTGCTTAGAGCCTGCCCATTAGCCATTCTTTTCAAGGGGTAGTTTCAATGTAAAGATACTCCCCCTACCTCTATTGCTCCCGCGCAATGGTAACAAAATCTGAAAATTGTTGGTTTAGTTTAATCAAAACAATTTTGCCAAAGGTAGGGGAAACTGGCACCCCTGCCAAATAATTCTCTTCACCTTGGATTTGCTTTCCATGTACAAAATAGCAAGTAGCTGTGTAATAATTAAAATTCTCTCACCAGGTTCCTGTCTGTGAGCCATTCACGTGCAGATATCTGCAGGTGTCCCTTGTACATGCGGACCTTTGTCCCCCTTAAGCACAGGGTCATTTAGGAGGGAGGCAGGGTCTAGCCTCTCTATATATCATGTTGACTCATCAGAGTCTAATTACTTTAGTTGTCACTGGGGGAAATGTTAGTAATGCCCTAGTTCATGGGAACCGAGAGCGGAGACAGCTGTGAGTTCTGGCATGATCAGTCCCGTACCTTAGCACAGCTATACTGCTTGCAGGAAGGCAGGCAAATTATGAGACCATTTCAGACATGCTGTATAAATTTGAGAGCAGTTAATAAAATGAGCCTTGAAGAAAAGGCCGTTTAATCGAATGCAGTCATATGGTCATATAAAAAACCAAGCCCTTATCTTGTTGGTTTGCTAAGGTTACTTGACAGACAGCTGAGCTCTCCTTTGTGGCTATCAGCACAGTGAAACGGCTGGAAGCGCTGCTTTCAGCAACAGCCCTCTCTGCTTGTAAAGACTGGTTCATCTGTCTCCACATGATGCTATCCCAAGTCTAGCCCAAGGTTGCCTCTTCTGACGAACTGCAGTCTTCTGTGCTGGCAAAAACATAAGGCTTAATGTTTTAGTAATCAGTAATCTTGGCCCAATTTTCCTACAATGAAAAGTAACTGTGTTCCAAATACAGTTGTAATAGCACTAGCTTTTATTTAAGCTAAAATGACTTTTGAGTAAGTTGAGCATCAATTAAATGTGCAATGCTTAAAGTCTGAAAGCCTTGAAAGATCTATAAACTGCCTACACTCCTCTACTTCTGGCAGAGAAGATTTACCTACCTGCAAGAGGGCAGCTAATTTTATAAGGCTATTTATATATAGTAGTTTCTGGGCTAATCTGGTGGGACATCAATCATTGCCATTTGAAAGAATGCCTTGGTAAATTAGAGATAAGCATTCAGAACCACAGCGGGAACTTTTCACCTAAAGTCTTAAAGTCTAGCAGATGCTTGCTAGCATGCCAAGCAAGGTACCAAACACTCAGCCACAGAGACACCACCACAGATAGACATTACAAAATCCCTGGAACTGCTGGATAGCCAGCAGCATGATGTGAGTGCAGAATTCTCCAGAAGACAGTGTGACTCTGACCTTGATATATCATTGTATCTATAAGGTATCTAGATCAGTATTTTACTTGATCAGATTTTTTTTCTCAGCCTAATGTTTCAGTATTACAGATGTAATGTTATGTGCAAATGGGAGTCTGACCTCAGGCATTATCAACAGCATAGTTAAATTCTTCATTTCATTTGGGTTTAGGTTGTTTGTTTTTTTTCCAAAGACCAGCATAGAAACCTAACTTAGCACTTCCACTGAAATTTCAGAAATGCTCTTTAGAAAACAAACTTTTAATTTAGGAATGAAAAAGATTCAATTTTCCAGACCAAACTTGACTGGCAGACAATAAGCACAGGGTCAGATAATATTTTCATAAATACAGGATCACACTACTTTCACAGAGTCATTCTTAAGAACACACAGTATGTTGAAATTAAATTTAATTTACCAATCAAGTTATGATTTGATTGTGCACATCTTTGCAAAGAACACTGCAGAAGCTAGATAAATAAATCAGCTACGAGAAGGATTATATCCATAGTAGACAGTCCCTCAATGGCTATTTAATACAGCTGTCAGCAGGAAACCTTTAGTTCGGGAAGACCTGAGCCCAGTGATTGCCCAAATCTGCCAGAGAAAAGTAGTGTTCTTTGCTGTCCCTTGTGAAAGCACTGGTTACTGGCAGCTATTAGTAGAGACTGGATTCAGGTCTAGCTGGACCTGTGGTGTAAGTCAGCATGGCCCTTCATGGCTGCAGCGCGCTCGTGCCACTTGCAGTGACAGGATGGGATGAAGTAGGTGGAAGACACAGATTTGTCTGTGCGCTGTTCCTTCTGATGGCTGCCCCTTCGGGGAAAGCGGTGTATGTGGGCATACATCATTTATCAAAGTAAAAAAAAATATCTATTTCAGATGTTAGGTTAATACTGAAAATAGCATTTTACACTTTCAGAGCTATTAGAATTTATTGCAGAAAGAAATCACAGAATACTACACATAAAACTTGAATGGGTGTTTATCAGTTGCTCTGTGAAATCTGTGTTAGCCATCTCTCTTCTCAAAGAAGTGTAACCATTGCAAGGACTCTGTCACAGCAGCTCCTTGGGATGACAAAACAACAGAGTTCTGGGCGTGCTGGTGAGAAGGAGCCCTGGAAAGTCCCATAACCCAGTTTCTCCCTCTGAGTGGGACTGTCACCAACATGAGACCGGGGTAGCTGTGGCTTTGCCTGGGAAGCTTGTGGAAACCTCCGACCGTGGCAATTTGGATCCCAGCTAACAGGGTGCTGAAAGAACAGGAAGTGCTAACAGTGGAAATAATGCCTGTGTGCTACAGTTAGGCTTCTGGTTTGTTTTTCTTTTTTGGAGACCTTTTTTTCACTGTGGGGTAAGCAGATGCAGTGGGATAGAGTTTGGTAATTTACAAACCACCTTTCAATTTCTGAGCTAACAACAAGCTTCACCATAGGGATACAGGAGCATGCTCCTTTACAGCTAATATAACTGTCAGCTCTTTGCAATTGCTCCTTAGGAATGGATTTTTTTTAAATATTGGTTTAGGCCTTGTTTAAAAAATAATTCATTGCGTTTGATGTGGCACAGAGCCATGAAACGTTTTAAGTCAGAGCATGTGCAGGACAAAGAAACAACCATGATGAAAGTTAATCAAATCAATTTCTATGCAAACTAATATTCTTTAAATGAAGTTTCCTAGAATTTATTGCCACTGGCTTACAAATATCTGCTTTAGATCAGAAATGAGCAGGAGGTTCAATTACAATATGTACTGCCTGCTGTATTCAGAAACATTCATTAATATGATAGAAAGTATTTCATATCCTCATCATATCAACTCTCAATATAATACATTATTTTTACATCAGCTAAATATGAAATTTACTAACTCTTTGGGAATTTTACAAATTTTATTTTTTCCCCCAGATCTTTCTTTTTTATTGCCACCGATTTCAGCATCAATTTCAGTTCAAGCCTGATAGTTTAAGCCTAAACCTTTTCTTCAGAGATATTTAGTCTCAGAAAATTTTGTCAGGAGGCAAAGTACTGGATCTTGAGATTTAAACTTTTATTTCTAACAAAATGAAACTACTTTCTTTAAAATGATCATGAAATCTCTTTGCTCACTGTTTTGATGCACAGAAAATGAAACTCTCAGTATGGTCACTGTCCTGCACATTTTTCTGAGACCTGTACTGTACCAAAGTCTTATTTTCCTTGCTTACACAGGGGCACTAAACAAAAACATAAACAAAAAAAAAAAGGGGCTACAAAGTTCAATTGACTTAAACCACAACAATACCATACCTAGGGTCTTGCAAGCAATTTCAGTAAACCTATTTGTATGCCTTAAGTTATACTGTCTATATAAAAAGCTAAGTAACATTAATTCCTCACAGTCTTCCTGCAAAGATTTTGGCATTGGAGCTATTTGCAGTTCAAATGAAAAAACAATACTATAGGAGCGGTAGTTAAATTGAGACGCGCGTGTGATTCATTTTTTCAAATCCAGGCAGTTATTCAAAGTATTGTATGTATATAAATGTTGAAGTTACTTTAGGAGGAAGAGTTTTAGTGACACAACCAGCTTTCATCACATTTTTCTAAAGGAAGCTGGCTCAAAGCCTTTTAAAAATAGCCAGTTTTCTTTTTTCTGAATGCTTGAACCTGCCAGAGAAACCACAATTAAGTGCACTATTATTTCTCTTATTTTTAATGAGTACAAAGTTTAGTCTTGCAACCTGCGAGCTGAAACAGTACAGTATGTACTACAAATGCGTATTTTAGACTTTGGATACATATAAATTCACAGAAATTGTAAGTATACCTTTTTTTCCCCCTTAAGTTGCATGCATTTACAGGGCTGTAGACTGGGCAGAGAATGGATGTGGGCACGTAACAGAGGGCAGTACAGCCAGCCCAGGGCCAGACTTCTTTCTCAGGAACACGCGTAGGAAATTAAAACCATTTGAGTAAATAAGGATAATGCGATTCAGGCAATCTGTAAGTTAAATGCCAACCGAATTACTAGGGATTTGTAACCTACCTTCTGTGAAAAGAGCCCTGTGTGTTAATTAGAGACCAACTAAGCAGTGCTCTGTGGGTGCAGGCATTTGCACGTGTGTTACCTGCAGCACATTAACATGCATGGGCAAACTCCAAGTATGGGCGTTCCTGCAAAACACTCTAACTTTTCTCCTTTATACCAGTTTTACTTTAAGCCTTGAAGCTTTCATCCCCCATTTATAAAACATATTTTCATTAATTTCTCAATAAATTGAGAAATGAATTTCTCAATAAAATCCCTTGAAAAGCTGGGAAAAGGTAGGCAAGCATTTTGCTGTGCTTCCTTCGGCTGTCGGAGGAAAACAGATGCTGAATTTAATTCCTTATAGATGGCAGAGAAGCAATTCGTGCGCGAGGAAGCAAGCCAGTACACTGAATTAAATCTATCCCAATAAAAGGGCTGAACTGCTGCTCCCAACTCACTTACCAGCAGCAGGTCTGGGGCAGTGCTGCAGGACTGCCCAGGAGGCAGCGGAGGCTGCAGAAGGGAAGCAGGAGCCAGGGAAGAGAAGAGTGTGGTGTGTAGGACCGCAGCCCCGATGGCTCGCTCAGCTGGCAGGGCACCGCAGTCCCACCCGTGTCATCACCTCTGTGGCACAAGGGCAGCCTGCTGGGAGCTGGGCTCCCCGAGCTCCCTCACCCTGGGGAGTCTCCACCCTCTGCCTGCGAGCTGGGGAAGCCAGAGGGCTTTATGGGGAGGGCAGGGCCAGGACGAGCCACAGCTTTCACCTTTTTTTTTTTCCTTTCAGCTGAACAAGTCATAAGTGAGCTGCAGCGCAGCACCTCGTCAGGAGCCGCCCCGAACCACCCGCATTGGCAGCGGTGACATCTGAATGAAGTACAGCATGGGCAGCTGCCAGGGGCTGGCAGCAATGGCCGAGCCAGGCAGAGCTGGCAGGGCGGGATGAATGCTGGCATGGCACGTCAGATGAGGCACAGCTGGCTGTGAATTCTTCTCCCCCAGTGATGTGCAGACAGGTACTACCTGGGAATGTTTTCCTTCAGTTCAAAATGCCTACAGTAACGCAAAAATTTGTACTGAGCCCATCAGAGCAGGGTATTCACAAGATAACATGTGGGCAGGTAATTGATGCTACGGAGGGAACCAAAGCTGAGGCAGCCTACCTTATATGAGGTAAGGGCATTGGTTCCTGGCACAGACCACAGCTTTCCAGGAGCTGCACTAACATCTGGAGTGGCATCAGTGACAAGCACACCACTTCTCCCATTTGCTCCCAGACACGGTTTTGCTTGCCAGGACAGCTGTAGCTTCCGAGTCCAGTAACCCTGACGATGAGGTCGACCAGGCTCTGGGGGATGCTGAAGGAATTCCTTCAGTTCAGCTGGGCTGCCTGCACTTGGCCAGCATCCCAGAGATCATCCTGTGGGAGGGCTCTGCCGGGGCTCTGACAAGAGCATGAACCCGTGTGATCACAGTTGTTCTCCTTGGCAGAGGGATGCAGAAGTGCACACGTTACAGATGGTTTCCAGTTAAAAGCATGATGCTTTCATTTTCCTAGCAAGACTCATCAATAATTAGCAAACATGAAGGCTGCCTGGAAGAGCTGTCCAGGTCAGAACATCATAAGGCCAGGTTTTTTAGCTGGCTGTAACTTGGGATGGGTAAGTAATCATGTTCAGGAATCATGCTCCAGGGATCTTGTTTTTTCCTTTATCAGTAATTTTATCATAATTAACTCTGTACTGTATTTATACAAGACTTACAAGAATCCTAGCAGGTACCAAAGACCATTTCATAGTCCCAGTAGCATTTGAGAAGGTATATAACTCAATAGATGCAAAAATACTGTTATCTCATTCAGGGAGCATATCTGCACTTTGGCCTGAAAACCTCAGCAGACTCTTCATAGTATTAGATCTGGGCTATTCCCAGGCAAGTCAGGAAAAACCAGAGCCTTTGCACAGGATGCAGTCGGAGGTGGCTATTGCTCTTGGCATGACTGGCACTCATGATCAAAGAAAACGAAACAACAACAAAATAACAGAGATAAAAAGCTATAGTTATTTTGTTCTCACAGATATTTGTTCTACTGTTAAAACCCATTATGATTTTTTTTGAAGTTGTGGGCACAGGTATCCTGGAGATCATTTCTGAGTGGGTCAATACAGAGTTGTTCCTGTCTTCAGACATGGAGTAGACTATCTAAAGAAAAGCTACAGCTCATGCTTGCATTGCAGTCTGAAACATTGAGTGAAAGGTATTCAGCCTGTCTGTCTTCAGTATTTGGAGATGGCTGGAAGTTATTTAATTTTACTGTGAAGTGTTCTCTCTTAGAGCACATGTACTAGGAAGGCTACTAGGAATGTGTTACTAACTCTGCTATCTGCTTAGATGCTTGATAGTCTTGTATAAAGATAGTACAGAGCTATTTACATTAAATTTGGTAATAAAAGACTGTTATAAAGTGGTTCCTCAGTGATAAGGCTACAGATTTCATCAGAGAGCAACAGTGCAGGCTCTGCCTTCTCATCAGCTTTGTTACTGCTGGGCTCCCAAGGGGATCAGGGCTCAGGTACTGCTGCAGGGCTCGAAACCTGCACCCACAGAAGTGTATGCCAAACTCACTAGTAAATTCTACCCTACCAAACAATTTTTAATTTGTTTCTGTTTTTTATCTGCTTGGGACTGTTTTCAAGGCCATGCCTGCTTATTTGTCAGATAAGAATGCGTGACAAGCATTCATAAAGTTTTCTTCTTCTCTCTCCTGACAAATCATCCTGGCCATATCACCAAAATACTTAATAATAGTAACTGATTAAACATGGAGTTCAACCTTTCAGACTTGTGTTTTGTGCTCGGTCAGATGTGTGACACACCCATATCACACAAGTGACCTTTGGTCACTTCACAATAAACCCTGAGATGTTACACACATCTTGAGTTGTGTATAGCCTTATCAGACAATGCTTTAAAACAGTTTTCATGCATTTGCATGTGCTGTTTAATATTAAATCTGGCAGAAGGTCATCACCCGATCTGTCCATTAACCGGATCAGCCTCTGGAATATGTGCTGCTGTCACGCCAACCATGGTGAGGACCCTGGCTCTGCCTTTCTTCGTTCAGAGGTGGAAATGGTTCTGCACCTTCAGCTCAGCACTTGGAGGCAATGTTTTAAACCCATAATTTATTAGGAAGATATTTATTAGAAAGAACACATTTTGTATGCATAATAGCCATTAAAAGACTTGAAATGATGAACACTAGGAAGGGCTGTGGACTCTGAATCTATTGTTGCTAGATATGATTCCTGAACTGTGCATGAGGCTGGCATAGTACCATACAGTACTTACAGCTTCCTATCGGAGTACCTCTGGTTTGTTCCATTAGCCCTGAAAATAACATGATGGGCCTTGCCCCTGTAAGGCTAAACATTCACACATCAAATTATTTCACACATCCATGCTCCAGAAAAGTATCAGTTAAATCATTACTAAGTTAACATCACATATTTTACTTCAGTGGCAGCTTCCCCAGCAGGTTCCCTGCTGCTCCGAGTGGGCTGCTTTTCCCTGATGTGTTCCCTCCTCCTGAATTTAGCTCAGAGCTATGCTCCTCCACAGCCCTGCCTTCCTTTGTCTTACAAGTGTCTTGCCTGTACTTTTTCAGACCGAAGCCTTGCATACTTGAAAATTAAGACACCCAGGAAATATTTAAGACCTCTGTTTCTTATCAGTGAACAGAATAGTCCCTAGAGCTGCTACTACCCATGCCGATGAAATTGCACCTAACCTCCCAGTAGGTTGTGTCAGCCCCAGCATGCTGGTTTTGGTGGCACTTGGGGAAGATGAGTGTCACAGAACTGTACCTCCAGCAGACTGTGATTTCCTCGTGCTCACACAGTGGTGTGCATTACCACTACCCCAGGGAGATAACAGTCCTCCAGGAATTGTCCACAGCAGAGGTGAGAAAATAGATGCCAAAGGGCCCAATGCACATGTAATTCCATTTGCTACAGATTCACACGGATTCACAGATTTGACAGAGTTGGAAGGGACCTCTAGAGATCATCTATTCCAACTCCCCTGCTAAAGCAGGAACGCCCAGAGCACATCACTCAGGATTGCATCAAGGCAGGTCTTGAAGATCTCCAGAGAAGGAGACTCCGCACCCTCCCTGGGCAGCCTCTTCCAGTGCTCTGCCACCCTCACCTCATTTTTGAGTGGGACTTCCCATGTTCCAGCTTGTGCCTATTGTCCCTCGTCCTATTGCTGGAAACCACCAAAAAGAGTCCGGCTCCATCATCCTTCAACCCACCCTTTAGGAACTTGTGAACATAGATATGGTCTCCCCTCAGTCTTCTCAAGGCTAAAGAGCCCCAGCTCTTTGAGCCTTTCCTTGTAAGGGAGGTGCTCTAATCCCTTAATCATCTTGGTTGCCCTATGTTGGACTCTCTCCAGCAGTTCCCTGTCTCTCTTGAACTGGGGAGCCCAGAACTGGACGCAGGATTCCAGTTGTGGCCTCCCCAGTGCAGAGCAGAGGGAGAGAATGACCTCCCTCGACCTTCTGGCCACACTTCTCTGTATGCAGCCCAGGATCCCATTGGCCCTCTTGGCCACAAGGGCACATTGCTGGCTCATGGAGAGCCTGCCATCCACCAGGACTCCCAGATCCTTCTCCTCAGTACTACTTCCCAGAAGATCCATCCCTAACCTATATTGGTGCCTGGGGTTCTTCCTCCACAGGTGCAGGACCTTACATTTGTCCTTGTTGAACCTCATTAGGTTCTTCTCTGCCCAGCTCTCCATCCAGGTCACACTGGATGGCAGCACAGCCCTCTGGGGTGTCAGCCAGCCCTCCCAGTTTAGTATCATCAGCAAACTTGCTGAGGATACACTCTGTCCCCTTGTCCAGGTCATTGATGAATAAGTTGAACAGGACTGGGCCAAGTATTGACCCCTGAGGGACACCGCTGGTTACAGGCCTCCAACTTGACCCTGCTCCATTAATGACAACCCTCTGAGTTCTGTCACACAGCCAGGACTCAATCTACCTCACTGCCCCCTCATCTAGCCCACACTTCTTTAATTTTCTAATGAGGATGTTGTGGGAGACAGTGTCAAAAGCCTTGCTGAAGTCAAGGTAGATGACATCTGCTGCTCTCCCCTCATCCAGCCATATAGTTATAATATCATAGAAGGCTATTAGATTGGTCAAGCATGATTTACCCTTGGTAAATCCATGTTTACCACTTCCAAGAACTTCTTTAGCTTCAATGTGTTTGGAGATGACATCCAGAACAAGTCATTACATTATTTTCCCACGGACAGAGGTGAGACTAATTGGCCTTTGGTTCCCTGGGTCCTCCTTCTTGCCCTTTTTGTAGACTGGAGTGATATTTGCCTTCCTCCAGTCATCAGGCACTTCTGTTCTCCATGACCTTTCATAAATGATGGAGAGTGGTTCAGCGATAACATCTGCCAGCTCTCTCAGCACTTGTGGGTGCATCCTATCCCATAGACTTATGGATGCCTAGTTTGGCCAAGTGCTCGCTAACCCAGTCCTCCCCAACAGAGGGAAAATCTTCCTGTCTCCACACCATCCCCCTTGTCTCTAGGGTCTGGGATTCATGAGGGGTGGCCTTGGCAGTGAAGACTGAAGCAAAGAAGGCATTCAGCAGCTCTGCCT